AGCTCAATGTAAATAGCATGATTTCAAGTTCAAATCCCTGTTTTTTATTCTCATTAATGCTCATCGCTTTTAAAGAACCTGGGAATTGAAATGGTACCTTAAGAGAAATAAAAGCAGCTCTGAGTCCCTCCACTGCTTGAGTTTAAAGCCAGTTTTTTTGCTAAGAGGACTCTGAACGCAGCAGTTCCTCACCAGTGAAAAGCCTCTCATCCGGACAGAAGGCTGCTAACTGCTGCATTGATCAACGAAGTGCTGCAGAAGAGACCTATGCAGTAAAATGACCTTGAGGCGTAACAGGAACTCAAAACTGATTTTAGAAAGAACTGGAAGAGAAAAGCAGGCAGTGAAATTAAACTGACCCTGAAAAGACCCTGAAGGAGAGATGGCACATCCATCTCCAGGACGGATCTGGTCAGCTCAACAGCAGGGGTTCAACCCTGGGCAGAAGGTGGGTGAGGGACCTGACAGATAAAGAGCTGCAAGAGCGTGCCCAGGTGGCCCAGCCAGGAAAAGTGAGCGTGCAAGAGTGCCCAACCCTGGCCAGGTGGGAGGAGCCTGGTGACCAAGTCTAAAGCAGTGATTAACAGCTGGCAATCGCTTCAGATGAAACACACAGCTGCTTTATGCAGACTTGAAAGACAAATGAATGATCTTCACCACGCAGATGAAATTTCCACAGGCACATGGCGGCGGAGTCCTTACCATAGGGGAACGATTCGCTGATTTCCCTGTCCCAGTCCTCCTCTGGGGCCGGAGAAGAGAGATACTGCACTGTCTGAGCACCTTCCACCTCCTCCTCGCTTTCCAGCTGGTCTTCATCACTGTGTCTCCAAGCCCTCTCCTTGCTGGCCTCCCTGCTGTCCAGGTCATCCTCATCACTGGCCTCCCTGCTGCGCTGCCTGGGGTTGACCATATCTTGAGTCTTGCACAGCACACAGCCTGAGCACTGCTCTTCACTCCGCCCACACGCCCTGCAACAGCCAGACACAGCTTCTTAACAACATGCCCACTGCCCAGCCCCAAGGACACGCCCACTGCCCTAGCCCCAAGGACACGCCCACTGCCCTAGCCCCAAGGACACGCCCACTGCCCGCCCCTGGGGAAACACCTGGCACACAGCCCCGGCCTTCGGGACACACCCACAGACCTCGGGACACATCCACAGCCCGGCCCTGGGGACACGCCTGGCACCCAGCTTGGCCCCGAGGACACGCCCACAGCCCGCCCCTGGGGGCACGCCCACAGCCCGCCCCTGGGGGCACGCCCACAGCCCGCCCCTGGGGGCACGCCCACAGCCCGCCCCTGGGGAAATAACCGCCAGACAGCCAGTCCAGGGGACACGCCCACTGCCCAGCTCTGGGAAAATACCTGGGACCCACAGACCTGGGGCACACCCAGAGCCTGACCCCAAGGACACGCCCACAGCCCAGGACCCACTTTCTGCTAGCTTCAGCATTCTGAAAGCCACCGAAAGCCAGCTGCAGGCTGCTGCAGTTGACCTAGAATCTAGAACCTAGAACCAGCTACAAAGGAGAGGAGGCCATTCGGCTCAACGTGCTGGTTTGGCTGCTTGTGGCTACATCTCACGCAGCTGTTTCTGGTATGACGCCAGGATATCGGCTTCAACAGCACGGCTGTCCCAGACTCCAGCAGCCCTTTGTGTAACAAACAGCTGCCTATTCCCCGTCTTGAACGTACTTGGTTTCCAGCTGTGTCCCCACACTCTATTTCACTGGCGATCCTGAAGAAGTCCACTGGGTTGACTGTCAGCTCCTTTGAGGATTCTGAGAACTTGAATCAGGTCCCCTCTAAGGTTTCTCTGCTCAAGAGTAAAAAGGTTCAGTGTCTTCAGGCTGTATGTTAGTGTTGGACATTCCTTTACCTGAGCACTTATTTGAACTGATTCCTGAGCAGAAATGACTTTTTTGTAAAGTGGTGAGAATGAAATCATTACTGGGCCTAAGGTACATGATTTAATGTTTCAGATAAAAAGATCGAATCAAAAATCTGGATTTGGGAAACCAGTGAAAAATCGTTCTAACAAAAAAATCCCAAACAACTTTCCTTGATTCTGCTTTTTCTCAAGACGTCAAGACTGCAAAAAAACATGAGCTTTCCAGAGCAGATTCTAATCTATGTTAATGAAAATTACTTTCATGAAAATGATAAGAAATAATTAACTTCTGCCTCGGCAGAAGTGCGACAGTACGCATCTTAATTTAATCTCGTCAGGCCTCTCACCAGTTCTGGAGAGACACCAGCTGGAAATGTGGTTATCTGCTTTCATTTCGGGCTCTTGTCTTTGTCCTGTGCGGGCAGTGTTCATTCAAATAAAATCACCCCCCTCATTTCCTTACTGATCCGGGCACTTTCCGCCTCGCACTTAAAACTTGCAAAAACCACTTTCGTCTACTCGCCAAGCATCGCGGAAACACCGCTTTGCTCACTGCAACAACTTCCAAATTCCCAGACTTTTCTGGGAAATGGCAGCCTTTCCTGCAGGACGCGCAGAGGAGTCAGAGGAGGTGAACCTGCGGACCGCTCACCTGTGCGCCAGGTAGCGGCGTGCAGGGGGCTTGGCCGCGGGTATCGGTGCATGTAACCTGTATTTCCTCAGTAAGTGATAAAGAGTATTTTCATGCTCAGGACTGTCGTTACAGACGGTCATGTCTTCTCCCCTCGGTGCGAGAGAGGCCGGCCTAGCTATCGTTTAGGTGAGGCGGAGAAGTCCAGATGTGTTGGGATTTTTAAAATGACATCCCTCGGAAAAAAAAAAAAAAATTTTCTTCTCTAGAATCACGTCGAAACCTGGATTTGCACACACGCGGTGTCGCTATTTTATTACACATTTAACTAGAGAGAAATCGCTGCTTCAGTTTTACTTCATTAGGATTGTCTACACGTTTTATTTAAAGGAACTTTTAGGAAACAAAAGAAACAGAAAATTCGGCAAGATTTGAAAACAGTCAACTTTCCGAACCTCCCGACGACTTCACGGGAAAAGTCAAACTTTAGGAATCGATAAGACTCTGATTAATTTTATCCGGTATAAAAAACAAACCCACACTGAGAGAGTTTTCAATACAGCTGAGAAAATGAACAAACCTGGGTGATTTATTCACAAACGGTCACTCGTCCCGCATCCTCCTCGGCCGCGTCCCTCACACAGGCCCGCAGCCCGACCGCAGTTACTCGCCACTGCCCCCCTGCGGGCTGGAGGCGCAGCCGGGGTCCCATACTCGCCCTCCATTATGAATGGTAATAATTACTCACACTTATATAGCGCTTTTCTGGACCCTCCACTCAAAGCTCTTTACAGGTAATGGGGATCCCCTCCACCAGCACCAGTGTGCAGCCCCACCTGGATGATGCGCCAGTCCGCTCCCCACACACCAGCTCTCAGTGGGGAGGAGAGCAGAGTGATGGAGCCAGTTCAGAGAGGGGGGTTATTAGGAGGCCATGACTGGTAAAGGCCAGGGGGAAATTTGGCCAGGACACCGGGGTTACACCCCTACTGTTTTTGAGAAACACCCTGGGATTGCCAATGACCACAGAGAGTCAGGTCCTCGGTTTAACATCATTTTTCTCATCCAAAGGACGGCGCCTTTATTATTGTATATTAGTTATACAAAACGTCATTGTCCATCCAGAAGATGAGTATTATATGAAAACATTGCCAAGCCTGAAATTGCCAAGCGTGTTTTTTGAGGGGGGAGGGAGGGGCAGGTGATGATAGAGCTCTAGGGACCCAGGCCTGTCAAGGGGCTGAGTGTGGGGTGACTGCTGGGGCGTCGGGTCGGCGCTGGGGCTGATTGTGGGGTGACTGCTGGGGCGTTGGGGCGGCGCTGGGGCTCAGCAATGCCTCCAGCCTTCCACATCCTTTCAAAACCTGCAGAGGCTTGAAGACACTGAGCTTTTTCAAACGGGATAAAATCCCACCGACTGACCGAGAGACCAGGACCTCAGCTTATCGTCTGTGCAGCTGAAGGGTGCCGGTCACTCACAGTTGTTTTCTGTGCTGGGAGCACGCACTCACTGTCCTGTGTGGAGAGTCCTCTATTTAGTCCCTATTTAAAAGCCTCTTCCTCCTCCGCCTCACCTGCAGCGTCTCTGTGACCAGCACTGTGTCCTTCCCTCTTCCAGACTGACGGGGAAAGCCTGGGAAACACAAAGGAATGGAGTTCGGCTCAGGCGACCTCGGTCTCAGTCTAGCTGGAAACACAGTTCACGCTGGTGGGTTTTTTCCTCTCATTCGAATATAAAACGCATCTCTTCGTTAGCACATTACTGATCTCACTGCAGAGGGATCTGAACGAGACTGATCTTTATTTTCAGACTGCAAATCAATTTTTTTAAAGCCCTGCAAAAACTAGGTCAGGACAACGCACAAGATGCTGCTGTCTTTATCTCTGTCTCCGTGTTTCAGACCCTAGCTCCGCGATGTGATTTCTATCGCTGTGGGTATGCGTCCGCTGTGCTGCTCTTGGTTAGGTGGATTACTTCCAGAGACAGAACACTAGATACCATTTACTCCTGGACTTAAAACAAAGAGACAGTAATTACAGTGGTCATGAGTGTGGCAGTGCTCTGTTCAAAAAGAACGAAAATGCTTGAGTGCTTAGAGCCCTGTAGTTCAGACTGTCGAGGCTATTGTCTGAAACCACATTTGGAAAATATCACGCTCAGTTCGGTTACCATGTTACACTGTTGTTTTGAAATGAGCTCAAAGAAAAACCTGAACAGTCCCAGGTCCTCTGGTTGCAGAATGTAGTGCTCTGCAGCAGGCAGGCAGGCAGCCTTGGTCTCCATATAAGCCACATGCAGACTCTCGTGCTTCTTTTGCAGGCATGTGGATCTTTATTTTGTAGAGGTCAGTGTAATTGGACTGAAATTGCCTTATTGGGTCTTCTCTCCGTGAGCAGCAATGAGCTATGTCAACATGGAGGCCACTGCATGAACAGAATACTGATTGATTGATGAAACAGACTGCCACACACCTCCTTTAGTCATGCCATTAGCAAATCGTTTTTATTTACAGCTTAACGTTTGTACAACATCACGACTATCAGTAAGAAGTCACATTAGCAAAAACCAGCTCTTACAAAACCTCACAGGAAAATAAGTGAACTGTGATTCAGTGGTACAGCACAACAGGAAACCAGCGCTGTAAGAGAGAGGTCTACACAGCAAACTGAAAACAGGTTGAGATGAACGAGGAGGAAGCAATATCACTGCTCCAGCGCTTCCTTGGCCAGGCTGCCCTGCTGGCGTCTGACTCGGACCCCCAGCCTTCTGGACAGGGGCCTGGCTGCAAGAAAGCACAACTGCTCTCAGGCAGCCACAGTGCCCAATTTACAGGGCTGCAGGCACCCCAGTCCTACCAAGAAGATTTAATCAAACTACAGTTCTTCACTATACCTGCTTTTGGGCTTTGGCCATGGGGCAATTGAAAGAGACCTGCTGCTTTCCCAGAAGAAGCAAGGTCACCCATGCTGGTGCCACAGTAGCAGCAAGGCCTGGGCAAGACCTTGCAAAACGTCTGGGGACTCTGGTCAAATCACAGGGCAAAGTATTGGGCACAACAGCGAGGACCTGCAGAGCTTTGAGATGACGCTGGTCAGGAACAGACACAGCCTTAAAGTATTTAAGAGCCCAGGACGGAAATGGGTCAGTTTTAAATCTGCAGTTTGAAGAGGAAGCTGACTCTCTCACTGATGGTATTATGTGAGTAGTCAACAGCTGACTGGCTGTTGCACAGTGATTTCTCAGGAGTCTCAGGAGCTGCTGCCTCTTCTCCGCCAGCCCTGCTCTTGGTCTGGAGACAGCAGCTCAGCAGTGGGGCCGTGAGAGAGCCCAGACAACTGCGGGCACTGAGACTTTCCTCTCTTCTCAGACAGGGCTGGTGCAGGAGACAGTGCCAGCATTTCCTTCAGCACTTGGCTAAGAAGAAACACACTGAGTGAAATGAAGAAGACAATCACCCCCTTCAAAAAACACAACAGTGATTAAAACAAAGGAAAAGGCATGAGAGCTACACAATCAAAATAAACCAGTGTTGCACAATGGAGCACAAGGCTGTCCAGTACAGAAAACCAGAGAAGTCTCTAAAAATATTTCCCAAACTATGCTTTGCTTCTAAGTTTACAAAGAACAAAAATTGTGCAGTAATCTATTTGATAGCACACATAAGACATCTCAATTGTTGTCAAAAAACTGTAAAAAAGAGAGCTTTGCTTGCTTTTAAACCTGTGATGCATGGCACATGAATACAAATAGTTGCTATCTTATGTACACAATTTACAGTTTATGTAAAACATTCCGACAGATTAAGAACAGAAAACATCTAAAAGCTTTTAATCTAGCTGGCAAAAAAACAGGAAAACAAAAAGCAACTAAACTTGTGACACTTTTAGCAAAAAAGGCACAAATACCAAAAGAATAACCCCCCCACACAAAGAAACCTCACTACAGTTTGTGTAACAAAGCGAAACTAAGGTTGGTATCAATAAAGTGTACAGTTTTCAACTCATCTATACAGCTCTTCAAAATACTGCAATAACACACAAGTATTGCTTCTGTGAAATCCCAGTTAATCTCCATCTCACCAATCAGTCCCACATTCACAAGTTAAAAGGACGAAATGTGAAACAATACATTCATGACATTTACAGTATACAGTCATTTTTTTAAAATTTATTGTGCAACCAATGGGCACAAGATACCCAGAAGACATAAAAATGTACCCCAGCTAGGGCGATATTATTAATATCACCATATCTTTTTATTACTGCAGTGGCTGAGCTTCTCCTGGAACACCTGCACAGAGCCAGCGTGCTCACGGAGAACCGGGGGTCTCTGTGTGATCGCAGAGATTCAGGAGTTACCACGTGCTTGGCCTGCAACAAGCCGCGGGCCAGTGGAAGAGTGGCACTACACCAGGGTGAGAGCTGGGCATGTCCCTCTGCTCACGATGCCAATTCTCTTACTCCGTCATCCAGCACAGTTCAGGACTGCACCTCCTGTCCCAAACCTCCCTTCTCCTGCCCTCCTGACCTCCTCTCCTCCCTTCCCCTCTGTTACTCCTGCTGACACGCGCGGTTTTCTAACTCGACTCCATATCGAACACACTCGCGCCCTGCACCTGCTCCAGCAAAGATCGACCTCCTGAGACCTTCTCCACATCCTGTTTTCATCAATACATCCATAATGAAAAAATAAAACTTTCTGGTCGTTTTTACACGATACATTCTATAGCTTTGCTCTTCTACAATACATTCACATTTTTTTGTCTTATAATCATCTTAATCAGCATTTCCCATCTCTGGCTTTTCTCAAAGTATATATTGTTTAGATACTGTAGATCTGCACGTTTCTTGCGTTCAGACTGACTGCACTGCCGACGGAGCAGGGCTGTAGCTGGGCGATGTCTGTGAGGAGAGCTGGCTCTCTGCCGGGACACTGGGGGAGACGAGCCTCAGTCTCAGCTCGGGATTGGGGCGCACCTGCTCAGCTTTCAGCAATCCACTAGCATTAGAACCTGGAACCCAGGAGGTAAAATGTTTCTCAAGAGAATCTTTTCTTTTTAATAAAACAGCTGGGTTGCAGAAATTGACTGTCTATCAGAATGGCTGGGTATTTACAGCCAGTCTCCAATATGTAACACTGAAGGCACCAGTGCATTAGAGTCCTTTCAGCAATTTGATAAATCCTCAGGTTCAGGACTGTGACCCCGACCCCCGTGCCTGTGCCCTTGAAGAGCTCCTGCTGGGCCGGACCAGAGAGCGGCGCAGCCAGGTGGCAGGCAGGTTCAACAGGTTGCCATGGGCCTCTCCCACCAGCAGTAGGCGCTGTCATAACTTCTGCCTCCCCTGAACACATCCTCAGCCATCCACCTGCCCACACCTCCTTTCAAGCCTTGAGTCTCTCTTCCCGAGGCCCATCTCACCTCATCTGAGCTACTCAACAGACACCAGGGGCTAGCTCTCCTCACTGCGCTTTCACCACAGGTTTAAATACCCCCCACTCTGCCCCTCTCCCGCTCCCCTCCAGCCCCAGCACTCAATAAATACCCCCCACTCTGCCCCTCTCCCCTCCAGCCCCAGCACTCAATAAATACCCCCACTCTGCCCCTCTCCCGCTCCCCTCCTCCCCCAGCCCAGTTACTCTGCATTCTAGCCTCCTCTGACTCTCAGCTACAGACTTCAGCCCTTAACCAAACAAAGACTTAGAATCTAGAGCACTCTTCTCTGGGGCTGAAAATCCACAAAATGATTCAACAGCAATAAGTCTGATCAGCAAGTGAACTGGTTCAGTTCAGGGTTGAAATCAACTTACCCAGAGATGGGACATACAACACCCCCCAGAGAACACAGCCACACCCCCCAGCTCTGACCACTGGGGTGTCCGCAGAGCCCCTCCTTAAGGGACACACTCTGGCAGGAGGTCACAGAAGTCTGCATGTTTTCAACTGTTACTTTAATATATTGCAGACTAATGTAACATACCCAGAGGTAGAATATATATATATGTATTTATTTTAAAACACAAAAACCCCCAGTGTTTAAAAGATAAGTTCCAGTTGTAATGCCTTTTTTCAAAAGACCACATACAGCAGTATCAATGACAAAACAAATAATAGAAAATGCAAAAAAGTGCTCGCAAGATATCAACATCTTCTTGTGATTCACAGACTTCTGAAGTGAAGTACCGAAACTCCTTGTAAACACAGAGTGACTTTTAGTTCCAGCGGCTGCAGGAGTGCAGTTCAGACCCCTCCACGGCTGCAGGGGGCGCTGTCTGCACAGCGTGGCTCCTCTCTCCCTGGGCGGCGGGGCTCTAGTGCTTGATCTCCAGAATGGAGGGGTTGTGGTCCAGGATGGCCAGGATGATCTTGTCCATGTACTGACGCAGCCGGAAATTAATCTCCTCCTGCTCCTTCAGAGCCTCCATCAGCTGGAAGGGAGTGAAGAAATTGAAGACGAGACTTGTACGTGATTTCATGAGGAGCAAACAGTCGGGATGCCGACTGCAGCTGGTGTAGAACTGCACGGTATTCCTGCGCCGCACAGCAGGGCAGGGGGAACTGACAGTGGGGTGTGAACCTGGTTCAACTGGGAGTTTACTGCAGTAAACCTTCACAGAGGCGCCATTTATTTAAATGCGCGTGGCTAACGAGAAAAGGCCGCGTCTCGGGGTGTCCTGCTGCGGCCACGCGCCCCACTCACCTCGTCCCGGGAGGCGTTGTCGATCTCGGCCGCCAGGGACTGCGCTTTCGTCTGCGTGGCGAACAGGTTCTTGGCTTCGTACAGGCTGAGGCTCAGGATCTGCCCGTTCAGGTCGTCGTTCTGGTCCCGGAGCTTCTGGTTCTCCTGCGGGGGGGAGCGGTCAGGCGTCTGAGCAGAGGGGGAGGGGTAAACAGTAGGGGGCGCTGTCCTAGTCCTAGTCCTACACAGACCATGGGCAGATGGGGGTTACTGGAGTTACCTTCTACTCTACAGAAACATGGATGGCAGGTGTGCGCTAGATATTTCCCAGCATCCTTCTCTAGGCCAGGACCCTGGGCACTGCGAGGCGACTCTGACACTAGTGGCTGCTGGCGTTCTTGTTAGTGGTTAGTAGACTGAGGTCACAGGAGACAGGTTTACCAGCCAACCGGGAAGGAGCTGCACCCCAGTGCGGACAAGCTGCTGGAACTCAGAGGGGGTCTCCTGGGAAATTAGCCTCTGAACAAACAGAGCAAAATCACAGGCATGAGCCAGCCCAGGCTACGCCATGGCATCAGCACTGACACGCAAGCATACTTCCACCAGAGCCGTACAAACACAACACGACAGTGTCAAGCATCTGTGTCCTGTGTCGGTGCAAGTCCGTTTTGGTCAAATGAAGATTTTCCTTAAAAGCTCATATTCTAGTTCCTCACCAGCTGCAGCCTGATTTCCTTCACAAGCGGCTGAAGACTGAAATGCATGGAACGAACAGCTTAGTTGTAGATTTTAATTTCTTAAACCTACTTCTGCCACCCTGTAGCAGATGTGTTTGATGTGTCATTTTTTCCGTCTGCAGCTCGCGCTCTGAGACAGGCAGAGAGCTCTGCGCCCCCCCCGTCCCCATGCCCCCTGCACAGGGAAGGAATAGTGTTCAGCCTGCTGAGCCAAAAACAGAAGAAAAGAGAGCAGCAGCCCGACGGGACTGGCAGCCCAGAGAGGCTGCTCTCCCTGCCGAGAGGGCGCGGCCCTGCTGCCGTGACGAGAGCAGACCCTCTCGGCACATTGCCCCCTGCAGGGACTGGCTGGGGGTGCGGGGACAGTCCTCTCCCAGCGGGTGAGGAACACCAGGTCAATTACAGCCTGTCAAGGAGAGCGTCTCTGGGTTGGTGCATTGGTCACTCGGTCAGTGTGTTGGTCACTCGGTCAGTGTCAGCTGGCCAGTGTGTTGGTCACTCGGTCAGTGTCAGCTGGCCAGTGTGTTGGTCACTCGGTCAGTGTCAGCTGGTCAGCGAGCCGGTCACTCGGTCAGCGTCAGCTGGTCAGCGAGCCGGTCACTCGGTCAGTGTGTTGGTCACTTGGTCAGTGTGTTGGTCACTCGGTCAGTGTCAGCGAGCCGGTCACTCGGTCAGCATCAGGTGGCCGCTCGGTGGTCCCCGCCTGACCTGCTTGAGCCTCTTGACCTCGTGCTCCAGCTCCATCTCCCGCGTCTTGGCGGTGAGCTCGGACAGGCTGGAGGAGGAGCTGCGTCCGCGGCCGGGCTTCTCCACCTCCAGCTTGAAGAGCTGCAGGTGCTCCAGCTCCCGCCGCAGGTCCTCAATCAGCTGCAGGGGAGAGCACAGTCAGCACTTCTCCCAGACAGCCACCTGGTGGCGCTGTGGCACCGCTAGCAGAGTACCCACCGGCGGAAGAGAGGCCTGAAGGCCCGCTCTCACAGGGGACCTGGCTCAGGGGCTTCAACAGGAATCTCGGGGGCAGGTGCCCCTTCAAACTGCATGTTGATCTACAGCCAGAGATTGCCAGTCCAGCTCCGATCCCCATAGGCAGCACAGCAGCACACAGCCACACTCACCTCCTGCATGGCCTCCTTCTCCTTCTGGAACTCGTGCCTGTTCTGCCTCAGCTTGTCCATCACCTTCCTGTACAGGTCCATCTCGTCCTTCAGGCGCAGGCTGGTGTCCTCCAGCTTGTCGGTCATGCGCTGGCGCTCCTGCGTGTGAAAAGCCACAGCTGACCGACTCTGTCCGGCCCAGACTGGGACCGGGCTGAGCTGCAGCACCACACCGAACCACAGTCCACAGCTGTGGTTCAGTCCACAGCCGCGCTCGCCTTGCTGTTATTTCTGACTCCGTGAACCTGCCCACGGGAAGCTGTAACACTGCTTGAAGAACACCTCACGGACCGGTGGAGAAACAGAAGTGAGATCACCAGGGTCTGGAGAGGAACCGAGGGTGTTGGGGACTTCACTGGCTCACCGTCTCATCCAAGGCGGCAGGGGCGGAGGTGACGCGTGATGAAATCCGAAAGACTAACGTGAGAATACGGAGTGCGTTAAATGAATAAAATAGGAGGGCGTAAGTACCTCATCGAGTCTCTCTGTCTGGGACTTCAACCGGGACACGTTCACCTTCATTTCAGTGTTCTCCTCCTCCAGCTGCTGGACCCTGAAGAGAAAGAGCATCAGGGACTCCAGCCGGGAGCCCCTTGAAACTCCTGGTCGTCTCCAGCAGCCGCAGCTTTCTACTGTGGGGTTCAATGCTCTGCTGTGGTCTATCAGGCCGTCCTGCGCTGTGCTGTGCTGTGGTCTATCAGGCCAGGCCGTGCTGTGCTGTGCTGTGGTCTATCAGGCCAGGCCGTGCCGTGGTCTATCAGGCCAGGCCTTGCTGCGCTGTGCTGTGCTGTGGTCTATCAGGCCAGGCCGTGCCGTGCCGTGCCGTGGTCTATCAGGCCAGGCCGTGCCATGCTGTGC